CCGCCTGAGACTTCCTCCATATTCAGGCTTGAGGAGCCCAAAAGTGACGACAGTTACAGGGTTCCGATGACCCGCTCGGATTACCAACATAATCTGCGGGCCCCATAGGGAGGGAACTCCCGCCTGAGACTTCCTCCCAATTCACTCACAGACGAGGCTCCCGCCTGAGACTTCCTCCATTTTCAGGCCTGGGGAGCCCAAAAGTGACGACAGTTACAGGGTTCCGATGACCCGCTCGGATTACCAACATGATCTGCGGGCCCCATAGGGAGGGGGCTCCCGCCTGAGACTTCCTCACACTTTACTCAACGATGATGAGGATGAGGATGATGAGTGGTGGTGAAGATGAGTGGTGAAGAGGATGATGATTGATTGTGGGTGGTGGTGGCGATGATGATGTTTGAATGAGGATGATGCCGATACCGATGATGACGATGATGTTCGTGAGCGTGTGAGAGAGTGCGAGTGATGATGATGCGTGTGTGAATGAGTGCGAGGAGAAGAGGGGGTGAGTGAGATCTCTCTCCTGCGCGGGGGTGTGCAGAGAAAACAAGAACCCCACTTTGGATGTGGGGAAAAATCGAGATCGGGTCGTTCGCGGGTCGCGCGGGCGGAACGCGGGGCGGGGCACGGGGCGACAGCGACGACAACGGCGCGAACAAAACAATGGCAGTGGACACCACGGAATTCAATTCAGCCGCGCGCTCACGGACAGTGTGAACACCGTCCGACGATTTATTCCGGCAAGCTTCAGAACCTACGCGATGCGCGCGCGTTGCCGCTATTACAAAGCGACGCCCCTAACTGTACCAAGTCATACGCATGGCATGGACACGCGCGTGCAAACGCCGATGTTGGTTTATCCATGTTTGGTCATATACCGATATACAAGCTGGCATGTTTTCCTTGCCGTCGCTCCAACTGCATGTAATATCTCTTGCATGCGGTATCAGCGTTTTCCAAATGTGAATATTCCCCGTTTCCTCGCAACCAGTTCATGACTTGACTGATGCTCCGGTGTCGGCGCGATGACATCTGGGCATTGCATTTCGTCCAACAGAACGGCCCTGCGGGCGCCTCGCCGGCGCGAGTGCAGATGGCTCATGGGCGTCCAAGACGTTGACTACAGGATCTGGTCCGCGCCGAACATTGCTCGCGCCAGACTCGATTTCCCCGCGCGGGGCGGCGGGTGGAGGACAAGGAACTTACAGCTATCATTGGTCTCACCAAAGTGCATCGTCCAAGATTCAACGGCGGGGCCCAAAGGCTTCGTTGGTTTTGATATCGCCCGGATCGCCGCCGCTGCTGCTGACTGCTTCTTCTTGCATGCGCGCCTTGTCTCCGTTGCCGCGACGACCTCCAGGCAAGCCATCCGCTGGTCGCGGCCATCGCGCAGCTTCGCTGGAAGCTGGCGAAACGCATCGTGGCCCAGTTTTTGCGCCCGCCAGAGAGTCTGACTACCCGTCATGCTTCGGCCCACAATCCTTCCCAGGGAGTATGATTTGTCTCTGCGCGCAGTGCACCAGACTTCCATGCCCGCGCATAGAGGTGCCCCTGCCCGGTGGCGGGCAGCCACTCCGACGGACCACGGTTCTCAGCGTTGGCGTCTACGCGGGGCCGCGCGCCCGCGTAAACACACGCGGTCGTCGCGGAGTGGTCAACGCCGTTTCTGCGGCCGTGCCGGGAGAAGTACGCGCAGTAATGGATGTGACCTGGGTTCTGCGCGCGCGTGGACAATTCGCACGCGCAGATCCACTGCGTGGCGTTGTATTTCGAGGCCCTTCCCTTCGCCAACACAGGGAACTCGTCCCACTGGCGCGGGGACAGCACGAAAGCGCGGTGATTGTGCCTCATCATGAAGGCCCGCGCGCGGAGCCGGCAGTTACCAGCGCCCTTGTAGAAATTCTGCTGCAACGTGTGGTGCCCCTCGATCTCGATATCTCCATGGTTATCATCCTCTGCCGCGCCGCCTGGCGACTCGGCCGCGCGCAACGCCAGCTCGAAGCGCTCCTTCCCGTCGTCCAAAACGGAAGGCTGGTAGCCTGCCCCACTGGCTCGCGACGAGTCGTTCCGCAGCTCACCCAAACGGCCCACTTGCTCGGCGAGCCCCTTGCCGCAGATTTGCTCACACAGCGCTTCGCGCTTGGCGCCTGCTTCCCGCCGAGGCACCTGCTGCAGCCCCAGCTCGCCGGCCAGGGCGTTCAAGAAGCGGCAGACTCAATCCCTAGCTTTGCGCTTCTCCTCGGCGGAAGGGCTGCGCCGGGCCGAAGGCGCCAGGGCCTGCCGGGGCCAAGAGGCGATGGCTCGAGCCACACTGGCAACTGAATCCAGCACCCCCATGCGATTTAACTCCCCGCGGAGGGCAGAAAAATCGAAGCAGGATCTTTCCCTGTCTGAAGAGGCTCAAATACTTCCAAACCATGGGGAACCACATGTGTCTGGCATTACCAACTTATCGACTCCAATGAGTCTCTGGGACCTCAGGATGGCTCCAAGGCTCCAAGGTGGCCCAAGAGAGCTCCAAGAGGGGCCAAAGATGGCTCCAAGACGGCCCAGAGAGCGACCAAGAGCGCTCAAGGAACGCCTCGCGAGGCGATGTTTTGGGCTCCTCGGCTCCTCGGTGGCGGGGACGATAAAGGACCCCCCTTGCTTCATCGATGGCCTCCGAGATGGCCCGAACTGCTCCCAGGGCCGCCGCTTTGCTCAACACTGCAGTCAACATCTGCTAGGTCACTAAGCTTCGCGAAACGCGCCCCGCGATGCGCAATTATCTTCGCTCCCTCACGCCCCAACGACGCCCCCTTGGAAAAGGGCAGCTGACCCAGACCGCGACGCACAATGCGCGATCATCCCCGCGTCCCTCAGGGCGATCTACTGCAAGTCCGTATCGTGACGACCCCGGCGTTGGCTTCCGACACCACGTGGTTCGTTTAGCCTTGCACGATGGCCGGCCTTTCGATCGCCCGATCGTTCCATGTTGGCCGATTCGGGGCCACTGCCGGCATTCAGCCTTGCACGCCCGCGGCGGGGTCGCCGCCGCGTTGACACGACGCGAATCTGCCGTACCTTCGCGCTCCCAGGGGTGACCTGGATCTGCGACCTGCCGTCTCGCAAGCAACCCTCGCAGCAGGGCGAGTTGAGACAATGGCAACTCAAAATCAAACGCACAAATGTTCCGGGCTGCGCCCAGACGTGGCGACGAGGACCCCCCCGCATACCAACTACCATTGTCTCTCAACTGGCCCTCCTGTGAGTCTGCCCCCACCGGCAGGCCCCTCCTCCTCTGAGTCCACCTCCTCTGATCGGGAAGACGTAAACTTGGGTTCGGGGGACTCGGGTTGGCATGACGGGGCCGTCATGAAAATGACGGGCGAGACCCAATCTGACATATGATAACTGGACCGTCGAAAATCGGGACGGGCCCGTCCAAGAGTCGGCAAGCCCGATGTTTGGCGAACTCGAGTCTTACGTTTCCCCGATCTGAGCCTGCCTCCTCCTCGCACGCGACCCTCCTACGTGGCGGATTCCGAACTCCGCCGCCGCCGCTCGAGTTCCCTGAAGCACTGATCGGCGAAGGCAAGGCTCGGATTTCGCCGCCGACCTCTGCCCACACCGGCAGGGCCGCTCGGAGCCGGCCGCCACGGCCCCGCGCCCTGGCCTCGCACAGGACGCGGCGGGGCCCACGAGCCGCGGCTGCCCGCGCCGCCGCGCCGCCGCGCTCAACGCGCTCGGCGGCCTCGGGGCCACTGCCCCCGGCGAGGCCCCTCCGAGGACGGGCCCTCGGCGACAGGCGGGGGTCCAGCCGCGCTCCTGGGGCACGACGCAGCTCCCTGGCACAGCTCCCGTGGGCAGCGCCTCCCGGGCTCGTGCGCAGCTCCTGCCCCGTGGAGCTCCCAGCGCGTGCGCAGGCCAGCGGGGGGGGGGGCACGCGGCGCTCCTGGCAGGCGCAGCTGCCCCCCCCCCCCCTCCCCCGAGCCCTCCGGCCCTGACCACGGGCCAGCGGGCCCGCAGGGCGGCTCGGCGCCTCTGCAGGCGGCGCCTGGCCCCGTCTCCGCGGGGCTCGGGCTGCCCTCCCCCCGGATCCTCCCGAGGACCCCGTCCCGCGCGCCGCCCGGGTGCCCCTGGCTCCGCCCCGAGCCCACCAGGGCTCGCGGCTGCCTCGATCGCCCGCCTCGGCATCCATGGCCCACGGCTCCGTGCTTTGTCGGGGTGCGCGGCTCCCACCTCGGCCGCTGGACTGGCCGTCTCGCTGGTCTTGTACTCAGCCACGCGACTCGCCTCTCGGCCGCCTGGGCGTTGCCGTTCCACCTCACGCTGCGCTAGGGAAGCGGTACCCCCCCCTCTTCGTATGCCATCTTGGTTGATGCGCGCTGCGGCCCATTCATCGCCAGTCGGGTATAGAGAACGACGCCAATGTCCCGAGGTGCACTGAAGAGATATTAATTTGCTGTTAGTGGCTCTGCGGCGCACTTCGTCAAGCTCTCATCAATCACGATCACTGCGCGTCGTGACCCGTCTCCGCCTAGCCGTGAAATGGGGGCAACGCCCACTATCATTCTGGAGATTGCCCTCCGATCTATATTTCGTCTGTGGCGTGTCGTCCACACGGTTTGCAATACCCTGTGCACCCAAACACTCGGCAGACCGTGCGGCCTCCCCCCTCACTCCTCGGTCTTATCATCGTTCTCTCTCTCTCTCTCTCTCTCTCCTCTCTTCAAGGTTTCCCTCCCACCCTCTCCTCCTCCTCCTCACCCTCCTCCTCCTCCTCCTCCTCCTCCTCCTCCTCATCGTTCATTCATCAGGTCACCCCAGGACAGAGTACTCCGATCTCGCCTGATCCAGGTGACAAGCACAGGATAGTGAAATGTTCGATCGTAAATTCCACCCACAACTCTGCAAATCATGTCTCCCCCGCGCTCCCTAGGCCCACTGATCAAGGCTTGATCCACGAGGGATCGCTCCTGAGCGGGTGGCAAAACAGCTTAGAGCGTGGGATCGGCAGTCCGTTATGGTAGCATGGAGCAAGTGGAGCCGCTCAGGCCGCAAGAACAAATACTCCTTGCCGACCTGAGGGCTGACAAGAAAGGCTCCAGAAACAACAAGGACCCCCACCGGTATGACATCTGAGAGTCTAGAAGGGAAGCCCTAAATTACCCGTGACGCGAATTGGCGCTCACATTTCACTCGGCAATTACATCTAGAAAACGCCAGCAACACGTAAGCAGAAACATTCGAAGAACTTTCAATACGGGCCGGTGCTGAGACAAAATTGGAACCGCCACCGTGCCCGCTTGTACGTTGGGGCGTGATGAAATAATCCCGTGCTGCCTGGCTATGTGTTCCACAGTTGTCGAAGCCCTCCCTCGAAGCACCATCCTCGAGCGTGCGTCGTCCCCAGCGCCAGCGACGAAGCCTCTATGACGAGCAAATCCGCCACCGTGCCCCCAGGGTATCTGTAACCTTCCAAGGCCCCCCCCCGCTGCCGAGGCCACGATCCCTGGTAACATAAGTCTGCATCCGCGCTTCCGAGCTTCCACGACGGCCGAGGCAGGCCACCAGGACCGCCAAGATGGCATTATACGCATCGAAGACGGCCCAACATGGCCCCGAGACAATCCAAGATGGCCTGAAGACGGCAGGAGAGGCCCACAAAACCACCGAAGAGGCCGACCACAGGAACCCCAGCACATCCTGTGGTGTCGGGTCCTCGCTTTGAAGAGACAGCGCCCCGCATCTTCTTTCTTCCCTGTCTCCCGCTGCCCCTCTCCTCCCTCCTCCAATCCCTGCCCTCCGCATGTCATCCACTTCGGTACTCCCCGCACACGTTTTGTGGCCCCATGCCCCATAGAGAGTTCCAGCGAAGGCCCCAATGCCCGGGCCCACATGCGTCCCCCACCCTCATCTCGGCACACCTCCCACACGTTCCGTGCCCCCTACGGGAAGCTCCACCGAAGCTCCCAGGTCCACATGCATCCCCGAGCTCGATTTCAGAACACCCCTCACATGTTTTGTGCTCCAATAGGGAGCGCCACCGAAGGCCCCAGTGGAAGGGTCCACATGCGTCCCCCAGCTCGATTTCGGCACACCCCTCACACGTGTCGTGGCCCCAAGAGAAGCTCCACCGAAGGGCCGGTGTGGAGGGTCCACATGCGCCTCCCCACCCAATTTCGACACACTCCTCACACGTTTCGTGGCCTCACAGCATAGGGAGCGCCACCGAAGGTCCCAGTGAGAGGGTCCACATCCGCCCCCCAGCGTCATTTTGGCACACCCCTCATACATGTCGGGGCCCCATAGGGAGCTCCACCGAAGGCCCCAGTGGGAAGGTCTACATGCGTCCCCCCGCACCATTTCGGCACACAACTCACACGTGTCGTGGCCCCATACGGAGCCCCACCGAAGGCCCCAGTGGCAAGATCCACGCGCGTCCCCCCCCCACACCATTTCCGCACATCCTTCACACGTTTCGTGGCCCCATAAGGAGCTCCACCGAAGGCCCGGGTGGGAGGGTCCACGTGCGCCCCCCGCCCCATTTCGGCACACCTCTCACACGTTTCGTGCTCCCACAGGGAGCGCCACATATTTGCTACGACCACCAAGATCTGCACTAGGAGCTGTTTCACCCAGGCTTACGCCAAAAGCTTCGTCCCAAGCACCCATGCCCTCCTGCGCATTGGTGCAACACAATTGCAACAATGGTTGGGTATTGGTCACCTGCTTGAGCGCCATCCATTTTCGGGGCTAGTCCATTCGGCAGGGAGCTCCACCGGCAGTGCGAGGGTCCACATGCGTCCCCCCCACAAATTCGGCACACCCCTCACACGTTTCGTGGCTGCTTAGGGAACGCCATCGAAGGCGACTCTCACAACTGCGCTACTCACAAATGCAGATGGTTGGATCCTTCGCCAGGCAAAGATTTGGGCGGCTCACCTTTTCGGTTTTCCTTCAGCTCCAGCGGGTCCTAGAGGCCTCCAAGATGGCCAAAACATCTCTTCTAACACGGCCTCAAAAAAAAAACCAAAGACGCTCCTGGCAGCGTTTCGTAAGCACCTGGATAGCAGCAGTGGCTCCTCCAGTGGCCCCCAGAAGCCTCCAGTGGACGCCCGCGAGCCTCCAGCGGCCTCCAATGGCTCCTCCAGTTGCCCCCCATGGCCTCCAAGGGCCTCTAGGTCTCTAGTGGCCCCAATGGCTCCAGTGAGTCCTCGGTGGACTCCAACGGCTCCTTCAGAGGAGCCCCAAGACTGGCTCCCACACGAGCCCCAGACAGCCCCAAGACGGCCCAGATGAGCTCCATGAGCGCTCGTCAAGAAGTGAAGAAGAATGGAGTCAAATGTCACGGCCTCCGGGCCTTGAATCTTATCTTGAACGGTGGCGGGACTTGCCGCAGGCACCTGGGTATACCCGAAATGTTCCTAGATGACGCATGGCGAAACAATATGTGACTCAGGGCTACTTCAGCGCAGATCATTCAGCAAATGTCCCAAATCGATGCTTCATGAGGTCAAGCAGGGGTAGATGAGACAGCCCCCTTGGCTGATGGGTCCGTAGCACGGGATACCCGACGCTAGCCCCGTGGACCAGAATGTCCAGCCAAAGGGGGCAATGTTAGCAGGTTGCAGGGGGCTAGACGGCCCCAAGAGGCCCCACGAAAGCACCCGAGATAGCATGAAGAACATGTGAAGGACCTCCATGACTGCCCAAGACTGCTCCAGGATGGCCCGGAAGAGCGTCCAAAGTGGCCCCAAGGTGGTTCTTCCATCGAGACGAGATGAGATGCGCGTGTCCGCTGCAGGCGGACTCCAAAGGAGCAGCGCGTGCGTGCGTACAAGATGGCCCTTCTCCCAATTGTTCCAATGTCTGGTCCCACATGTTCCCAGGTGGTTTTGAGTTGCCTCACGTGTGATTTTCTCGGGGAGTCAGCACAACACCAAAACACGCCTAATGTTCGGATGTCTGCGAACATTCGATGCATGTTTCATTGATTCGACGATCAATCACATTTCTGGTGTACATATATTCTCTGCAATCAATCCCCTATTGGAAATGTGGTTCCGAGCCTCTGCCGCAGACCTCAACAGAACCATCCCACCAAACATAGCCCAGGCCCAGGAACGTCCTGGAGGCGCGCGAGGGACCCTGTGCAATCGTGGGCCTATTGAGTGGCCACCAGTTCTACAAAACCTCGTCGGGGGCGCTTGGTAGAACCATCCCGCATGTACTCCGACACTGCTCTGGCATGGTGGCTGGGTTTGCCACAAGCAGTTGAACCGATATGCAACATCGGGTCCTATTCGGCGTAAACACCGATCAACACCTACGTATCAATATCTGCATTGCGGCACCGCTTCCTGACGCTTGCACCCATAAGAGGACGCATGCGTCTCTAGGATTTGATGGTGTTCGAACTCCGTGCATGCAGCCGATATGAATCCCTTGCGCTCGAAAAATGCTCAGTGCCTCGTTGGTCGCCGCACCATTGGAATTATACTTCGCGGGGACTGCGAACTCGTGAAAACGTTGCGTGTAATGGAAGCCAAGACGATTAAGGGTGATCCTGTGATCGTTGTCTCCAAATGGAACGAGGACGAACAGGACCGCCGATCTTCTACGGCGTGGGGCCTGACTTTCGTCGGTCCTACTCGTCTGCATGCATCCCACCTAATCCCCCGTTCGTTCCTCAGAGCCGGGGTGGACCGCCCCAACCAAGCGAGCCTCCCCTGCCCGCTTCGTCACCCTTCCCTCCCACCCTATCTGCCGGTCCCGTCCCACTACGTCACTTATCGTCCCTCCCTTTACACTATCTTCCACGCGTTCCCCTTCGCCGCTCCTATCCCCCCTTCCCGCGACCCTGCCCTCCTTTGCGCCTCCTGTTCCCCATTGCCCTACCCTTCGGCTTGCACTTGCCACTTGCGCCCCAGGAGCGCTGCCTCGAAGAAGCGCACCGCTTCCTCGTCCTCCCCAGAAGCCAGAGGGTGGAGCTTCCTGTGCTCCGTGTCCTGTCGGAGATGGGAGGGCCACGAGGAGGCGCGACGGGCGCGGGCGCGACTCCACGCTGCGCATGCTTCGTCGGCAGGGCAGCCGACCGTTGCTGCCGCGCCCGCGCTCTCCCTGCCTCACGCGGACGCCCTGCCCATCTTCCGAACAAACGGACGATGGCACAGGAGTGGACGCACGTCACCAAAACCTGCACTGCCAATGTAGTGATGATGAAAACTGCCAGCTTCCCCAGCGAGGGAAACAGGGGACTTCACCATGCGATGCACAAGCCATGGAGGAGAAGGGATAATGGTGAAACAGGGAACCAAGATGGAGTGAGGGCGAGGAAATGAGGGAAGAGCAACAGTAAATGTGTTCGCATGTGCAGAAATTTCGCCTGGGGGCGGATGGCCCAGAACGGATCACTGGAGAAAAGCACCGCAATGTTAACAATACATCAAACCGAAGTGCCTACGACCGGCTGACCGGCACCAGCTGACCTGTGTCAGAGCTGCAATAGCCCGCGACTGTTCAAGGAGAAACATTGTTGGCAGTCTCAGACTACGACTCAAGAACGCCGACGAACCATAGTGGGCCACGGACTGTCTCAAGAAACATTCTCAGATCGCGTGTCATTGTGATGGAGAAATCTGCTGCCACCGACCATGTTCGGGAACAATTTCGGCGATCCGCTCAGAACCTGCACAGCAAAGCAAGACACTACAACGCCCTCCAAACGACGCAAGCATGATTAGCCAGAAGGGCTTGTTTTGGGGGGGTTCGGAGGGTCCTCCCAGGCGCCTGGGAAAACCCCCCAAACCCTTCCCCCAAGAGGGATCTTGATTTGTTTCAGGGTGTTCGCCGCCCCCCCGAGGAACCCCACAAAAACCCTCATCAAGAGAAATGTCTGGAGTGTTTTCAGGCCTCCCAAAACCCGCTAAAGGTTTTTTTTAGATGGGTGTCCCACCCCTCAAGACACCCTCATAATTATCGGGGTGACGGACCCAACAACATGCGGATGCGAGTACCGCAAGACAGATGGGGCCTTCGATGGAGCTCCCCATTGGGCCACGAAGCGTGTGAGGGGAGTGCCGAATGGGTGGCGAGGAGGCACGCGATCACCGCCACTGGGGCCTTCGGTGGAGCCCCTGTACCAGTTGCAACAGTCCTGCTTTCTGGTTCCTTACTGTTAAGTGTTGCTGAACGCGCGAGGGGGGGAGCCGAAAAGCGTCCTTGCTAGCACCCCCGAATCGCATTGTCTGAATTCCCCGGGGGTCGTGGGACATGTAAAATTACATGATATTCGCGTCCCCGAGGCCATCATCCCTACTGCACCATATTCGCGTCCCCGAGGCCATAAACCTGTCTAGCCTACGCAATACTCGCGTCCCCGAACCCATTTTAATCCCGAGTCAATTACACAATGTTCACGTCCCCGAACCCATTTACCATCGTAAACTACGCAATCTTCGCGCCCCCGAAACCGTGAGCCCTCGCAAATTACTTCATATTGGCGCCCCCGAGTCCAGAAGCTATGGACAATTATACAACATTCGCGTCCCAGGGCCATTGAACCGTCGTACATCACACCGTACTTGCGTCCCCGAAGCTATAAATCTTCGCAAATTACGCCGCAATCGCGTCCCCTGAGGCGATCAACCCTCGTCGATTACGCAATGTTTGCGCCCCGAGGCCATAAACCCTCGTAAAGTATGCGATATGTGCGTCCCCGAGGCCACAAACTATCGTAACGTACGCAAGATTCGCGTCCCTGAAGCCATACATCGTAATACATTATCTAAAATTAGCGCCACCGAAGCCATAACCCCTCGTAACTTAATAGTGACCCTCGCGTGAAGTTCCGACATTGCTTCACGTCAGCGTCCAGACATGCCAACACAGCTCTGGCACGTCGCATTCTAAGAGAGGGGGGGGCGGCGGCATGGGGGCGAAGCCCTTACGGATCAATGGAACCTACTGATGGTTCGTGAGGAGTCCTTAGCGATGATCTGTTGGGCAAGCATTCGTCAGTAAGGATGCCTTTGATCAAGGAATCCTTAGTAAGGACCCAATGCGTGAAGAATCCTTACTGTGATGTCGTTACACAAGGATCCCCTCAGAGAGGATCCCTGCGGCAACAACGTGAGCACCCTGGAGTAGGAGGGTGAAACGGGGGTGGTAGAGCGAGGGAGGAGGGAGGATGACGATGGGGGGGGTACAGGGAACGGGAGGTGGTAGATGGAGTGGGGTGGAGGAGGGAGATGAAGTGGTGTGGGCGGGATTTTTCCTCTTCCCGCCCCCCCCACAAAACATGATCGACCCACGAACCTGGAAAGGACTATAGAGCTGTACCGCATGGCAACGTTTTCAAAGACACCTGATTGGGTGACGGGCAAATGCAATGCTGAGTGTATCGATCTTGATGTACCCTGCCGAAAGCTGTGCTGTGCTGCACCGTGCTGAACTGCGATGTGCCATGCCGCGATTGTGCTCTATAGCGTCGTGGATCGAGTCCTCCTTTGCATCTGAGTCCTGACCGAACAGATTTGGACTTTAAGCTCGAGCTACCTGAACACATAATAGCTGCCCCAGAGCTAATTGACAGGGGAACATGCCAGGAGGACGCGCCGAGGAACGTCTCAAGGGACGCGGCAGGCGACGTGTCAGGGGACGTGCCATGGGGTCGCACCGCGGGACGTGCCAAGGGGACGCGCTACGGAACGTGCCAATTGACGTGCCACGGGATGTGCCAGGGGACGCGCCACGCGACGTGCCAGGGGGACTCGCCAAGGGACGCCCCAAGGAACGTGCCAAGGAACGTGCCAAACTGCAATGCTGAATGTATCGATCTTGATGTACCGTGCCGAAATCTGTGCTGTGCTGCGCCGTGCTGAATTGCGATGTGCCATGCCGCGATTGTGCTCTGTAGCGTCGTGGATCGAGTCCTCCTTTGCATCCGAGTCCTGACCGAACTGATCTGGACCTTAAGCTCGAGCTACCTGAACACATAGTAGCTGCCCCAGAGCTAATTGACAGGGGGACATGCCAGGAGGACGCGCCGCGGAACGTCTCAAGGGACGCGGCAGGCGACGTGCCAGGGGACGTGCCATGGGGACGCACCGCGGGACGTGCCAAGGGGACGCGCTATTAGGAACGTGCTGGGGACAAGCGTTTCGCTCGAGACATCATGTCAAAATCCCAAGATAGCCTGGCAAAACAAACGAATTAGTCGAGACATCCTCAAAATTCCTGCGCGCGGGACGCGGCACGCGCGAGACATCCTCGGAATTACTGCGAGCGGAACGTGAAAACAAGCATTTCGCCTGAGACATACTCTGAATTCTGGCCCACCACGAGGCTCCCGCTCGAGACATCTCCCAATTCTGCAAAACCAGCGTTTCGCTCGAGACATCCTCAACACACGAAAGAGTGGCCCGCAACATGTGATTTATCGATCGGGATTTCAAAAACAAGCGTTTCGCCTGAGACATCCTCAAATTTTAATCCGCTGGCCCACCTCGACCTTGATATTTATCAAGGAAAGAATCCGCCGGCCCACCTCAATTGAGGCACCGGGGACAGGTTTACCAACTAAAAGAGAACCCTGGGCCAGCGCCCTTTCCGGGAAAAAGAATCGGGCATCCAGATGTGTTGTGATCCTCTTTCATTTTTGTCGGAAAAGGGGCGGGAATACAAATTATCCCAGCGAAGGACCCAACCATATGCAGTTGTGGGTACCGCAATTGTGAATACATTTTTCCGTGAAGCTCCCTATGGGGCAGCAAGCGCTGTACTGGGTGGGGGAAAACGTATGAGGTCGGCAGCACCGGGGCCGCCGGTGGAGCTCTTTATGGGGCCTCGAAGCGCTGTACTGGGTGTGGAAATGCCAAATTTGGTGTGTGGCAGGACGCATGCAGGCGGTCCCACTGGTGGCTTCGGTGGAGCTCCCTATGGGGCCACGAAATGTATGAGGGGTGTGCCAAATTGAGCGTCGGGGACGCATGCGGGCAGTCGCACTGGGGGCTTTAGTGGAACTCCCCATGGGGCCACGAAACGCTGTACTCGGTGAGTGAAAATGCCAAATTGGGCTTCCTGTGCGCATGCGGACAGTCCCACTGGGGGCTTCGGTGGAGTTCCTTACGGGGCCACGAAAACTATATTGGGTAGGTGAAAATGCCAAATTGAGTTTCCAGGGCGCATGCGGGCGGTCCCACTGGGGGCTTCTGTGGAGCTCCCTATGGGGCCACGAAGCGCTGTAGTGGGTGGGTGGAAGTGCCGTAAAGTTTCCGGGACGCATGCGGGCGGTCCCACTGGGGTTTTCGGTGGAGCTCCCTGTGAGGCCACGAGCCGGTGTACTGGGTGAGTGAAAATGCCAAATTTAAGTTTCCAGGGCGCACGCGGGCGGTCCCACTGGGGCTTCGGTGGAATTCCTTATGGGGCCACGAAGCGCTGTACTGGGTACGTGAAACTGCCCGCTTGCGCTTCCAGGACGCATTCGGGCGGTCCTACCGGGGGCTTCGAAGCGCTGTACTGGGCGGGTGACAATGCCAAATTGGGCTTCCAGGACGCATGCGGGCGGACCCACTGAGGACTTCGGTGGAGCTGCCTCTGGGGCCACGAGCCGGTGTACTGGGTGAGTGAAAATGCCAAATTAAGTTTCCAGGGCGCACGCGGGCGGTCCCACTGGGGCTTCGGTGGAATTCCTTATGGGGCCACGAAACGCTGTACTGGGTACGTGAAAATGCCCACTTGCGCTTCCGGGACGCATTCGGGCGGTCCCACTGGGAGCTTCGAAGCGCTGTACTGGATGGGTGAAAATGCCAAATTGGGCTTCCGGGACGCATGCGGGCGGTCCCACTGATCGGTGGAGCTCCCTCTGGGGCCGCGAGCCGGTGTACTGGGTGGGCGAAAATGCCAAATTGGGTTTCCGTGACGCACGCGGGCAGTCCCACTGGAGGCTTCGGTGGAGCTCCTCATGGGGCCACGAAGCGCTGTATTGGGTGGTGAAACGCAAGGAGGG